TATAGCGAGGTAGGTCGGACCTGCTCGAGCTTGGTCCCTCATGTTGAGCAAGCATGAGCACATTCGAGGCATGTTGACAAATTTGAAATATGATTCATCGTAACCCTGCGGCCTCGCAGCCTGTATGCTGAGATTACCTCCATACCCGACAACATTTCATTACTACGCCTGCTTTATGCATTATTCATCATCACAAGTAGGGATAACGATATACTCCCTCATGTTGCTATGATTCGTTCTTGTCATATAATATGTGAAGTATGCGGATCCGCACAGTCGTAGGGCCTAACTCCTCCTCATATCCAATTTATTTAGCCTCTTACGCTTTGCGTCTAGAGGACCTTGGCTGATTGGTGTAAATGATAATGTCGGAGGTGGCTGCTGTGGCTGGCACGAAGGCTTCGGCAACTGTCAGATAGCAGGACGTTATTTATTCGCCAGGATAACCTAGTACCGTATGAACCACGCTTTGTGCACATTTTGGAGGATTAAACCAAACTGTGTAGCCTCAGGTAACAAACACGGCCAGCATTGATGCTATTTTGATATCAGTTAGTATAGCGGTAGACAGCACGGCACGCGTTGTTTGCAGAACAAGAAAACATAGGGACGCAATAGGCTTGCAAACATGAAACAAAGATAATAGGGAAGCCTCAGAGAACACCAGGGTCTGATTAATACTAGAATGTTGGGAGCTGAGACCTGTTGGATGTTGTCTTGGATGTGGCCAACTTGGTTGGGATGGGAGATGCATCCTTGCATGTTTTGTGACATGGAATTCTGGCACCGGTCGCCACAATTTGGTGTTGTGCATCTACACCTAAGATGATTACAGTATATGTGGCAAAATGCATGTCAAACATATAATAGGGATCGACTAAGCTGCCAAGCCGTGCGCTGGAATGATCGGTCAAAGCAGAAGTGTTGGACGGTGAGCCTCGTCACGGGCTTCTTGTCGCTAGCTGGGCATTGGGCTTCCTTAACAAGAATCCGGCCGTCGGTAGGACGGAGCCGTAGCTTTCGTAGTTAAGAATAACAACGCAAACGGTTTGGATTACCCGAGAGATGTATCCATGTACATCGATGATGCAATCTTGATTCCCCATAATTGATCATCATCAACAAAGGTCGCAGCGACACGTGTAGATAGCGTGTACTTATCTGCCGCGCCATCATATGCCCATGGCCCATGCCGTGCGACTGCACAAAACACAGTGTCTGATGGCGTAGTACTTGGTGTGGCAGCGAGCGCCATCGCCTGAGGGCGGCAACAATGCCATGATGAAGGATGCAGATATCCGGAGAGTGGTTTATTTTTATCGCCTTGCTAGCGTCCGAACGGGGCGTTCGAAAGGAATCCTGTATGCTTTCCTTCTTTCTTCAGCAACGGAACGCACAGCCCCTTGCCATGTCGCCTATCTGGTGGGGTTCGTTTGTTTGTTTTTGGGGAATAGGGCAGGCTGCGGGTCAGGAACACAATGATAAGCTTTGTGGTCTTCAGCCACGTCGAGATTGCGTACGAAAAGGCCGTGTTAGTGTCTTGCGCTGATGATGAGTGTGGTTACAACGAGAAGTGAGCGGAAAAACGAACAAAGCGAGGCCCAAGAAAGCGCTAGTGTGTACGCTTTGGGCCTAGTGAATACATGTCCAGTGGGCAGGAAGGGTCCACGGGTCTGCGCAGCTTCCACTTCACCACAACTGCACGGCAGCCACAGTGCAATTAAACACACACCCTCTTCCATTACGCTCTTCCGGATGATTTCCATTGAAACCACAATAACATGTTTATCAACCCTATCCGTTCTCAATCATCCATCATGGTGCTAGAGCCAGTTGCAATCTTATCACTTGCTTTTTCTCTCGTTAGCTCCATCATCTCTCGACAAAAGACCCGAAGCGTAAGCTGGCCATGAGAAAAACTCCCTTAGATCCCCCTTTCTCGACAATGTGGATCTCGATCGGTTTCAGGAAGCACCGCATTGTGATCACCACTGCTCGGGGCAAGCCACAGGTATCCCTGCGTTTGTCTTTGGATCTGCCGAGCTCCAAAGCCCATCAGCTGGCCATGTCTTGGTGAACGCCCGATTCTGTTATGATCTTTGAATAATGATGGTGTGGCTGCACGTGGTGCACTGCCTGGCTTGCTTAAAGCTTTCGTGATGCCTCTGCTTCTGTGTTCGACAGCTTGAAAGAGTTCTCCCGTGTCAATATGTTTTCTTCATCAGTCACTCGCTCATATTTCTTCATCAACTGCTTAATTCTAGGCTCTCGTGCCGCGCCATTCGCTAACTACACTACACCCAACACCACTACGACATCGTATCTACCCTATCCAACTTCTCTAGACCCTATTTTAGACGAGTATCCAGTAGATGACCTGCTTCCCCCGAACGACAAGGAAGAAAGATGGAACAGCCCAGAGTACAAATGGATCTTTCAATACCCACTTCCCATACCCCCAGTGAAGGAATCAAAATTGTAGGATACTCACCAGTCAGATCATGATTGAAGACTAAGACAGAACAGCACCTACACCAACAATGTCACAGGCGCCATCATCGACTATTACGAAGTCGATGTCAAGGCCATCAAAAAACAAATATATCCTGACCTCCCNCCTGCCGATATGTTCTCGTATGATGGGCACGTGCCTGGTCCAACTTTCAAGATGCGCAAGGGTCGAGGTAAGATTAGTCTTTAGCCTACTCGTACTAAGCTAATGCTCCATTTCAGAGGCTGTTGTACGGTTCAACAACGTCAGTCCAACAAATTCGTCCGTCCACGTGCATGGCCAATACAATCGTGCTCCCTTTGATGGATGGGCAGCAGACTATGCGCTGCCTGGCCAGTACAAAGACTACTACTATCCAAATGCACAAAATGCACGAACAATCTGGTACCATGTCAGTCAACTCTAAATTAGTTGCTACCAAGGACGAGCTGATATCCATAGGATCACACCGAACACGAAACCGGCGAGAACGTGTATTTCGGACTTAATGGTTTCTATCTATTGAGCGATGACGAAGAGCAAGCGCTTGACTTGCCAGATGGCGACCTTGATATTCCACTTGCTATTTCTGCAAAGCAATATACCACAAACGGATCCCTGATGTACAACACCAACAACCACACTGGGCTTTGGGGTGATGTGATTGAAGTGTAAGAAAATCTTTACAGGTTATCCCATGGCGACTAATCATTTCGGCAGCAACGGACAGCCTTGGCCATACCTAGAAGTGAAGCCATGCAAATACCGTTTCCGCGTGCTCGATGGTGCTGTCAGTCGTGGTGAGTCAGATCATGTGATCTACATCGTAACCAGCGTGCTGATTCACAATAGCATTCGACGTTTACCTCAAGGAAGACGGAAGTAATGAAACACTGAGCTTCAATGTCATTGGTTCAGATTCCGGTATGTCGATTGATTGATATATTCGGGTTCTGCTGATTTTCTTCTCAGGTCTCTTCCAGCACCCAGTAGAAACCAAGAACCTTGCCCTGGCTGAAGGTGAACGTTATGAGATAATTGTCGACTTTGCCGACCACGCGGGCAAGAACATCACCATGTACAACGAGCGTGGTATGGCTGGAAACCTCGACTTTGCCGCAACTAATCGCATTATGAAATTCATTGTCAGCGACCCAGACGACAATTCCATAGTCAACGATCCTCTCCCGACTGAGATGCACTACATCCCCCCGCCACCAGAGGCCAATGTCACAAAGAACTTTACCTTTTCCCGTGTTAACGGTTCATGGGTCATCAACGGTATCGGTTGGGTAGACATCGAAAACCGCATCCTGACGCGACCAATCCTAGGCCAGGATGAAATCTGGGAGTTGAGGCACGGAGGTGGAAATGCCTCGCATCCAGTTCACATCCATCTCGTTGATTTCCAGATCCTGTCTCGCACTGGAGGAAGAAACACGGTTATGCCATACGAAACAGCAGGCATGAAGGATGTTGTTTGGGTCGCTCCTGGTGAAGTTGTCAGAGTCGTGGCAAGATACGCACCATGGAAGGGTGTCTATATGTTCCACTGTCACAACCTCGTCCACGAGGACTACGAGTAAGTTCAGAGCCTTCACCTCTTGGATACATCAGGACTAATAGTTCAAAGCATGATGGGAGCATTCAATGTGACTCAACTCGAGAAATGGGGATACGACAAGGACACCATTTTCATTGATCCAATGCAGCCCGAATTCCGCCCCAAGAACATCAACTCGGCAGACTACACGGAGGAGGCTATTATGGAGAAACTGGATTGGTTCTACCACACGAACGCATACAATAGGACCATGGCTTGAGGAGACGGCATGTGTACATAGAGCCGCTCTCAAGTGGATGGTTGAGGAGTGACGATGCATATTCCCGTGCCCTTGTGCACCTCAACTTAGATCATAGAACGCATTACCACGACTCTCGCTTACACAATTCTGTAATTATCGATCTTTTTTTCTTTGATAAAAATCACATCCTTTACAGCCTCATTCTCGAGTCTCATCACGTGCCAAGTGTTGCGACACCAAGTGTATTGACTTGACACTGTAAGATATTGGGCGGGAAAGCATTAGTGCAGTAAGTTTCTCATGAGTAATATGACACATTCCAGAATCTTCACCGACATCTGACAACTCGTATTCTACCCCTTGTGCTCATGTCATGGCGGGAGTGAAAGCACCCGGGGCCGAGAGCCGATTAAGCCATTAATCTTTTCCTTCCTCTACGTCGCCGCCTCGATTCACAGTCGACTCATCTCCAAATATCAGGCTTGTTATTAAGCCCTCCGTGACCCGTAAACATGACACTTGTGTGTGTCGCAGCTTTATGAGCTGAAGTATACGCAAGCACAAACAACGATACCTGATGCCCAAAACCAGCTATTCTTATCAACAAGAATATGCTTACTATGAGAATATATTATTGCGCCCCCACTGCCAACTTAGGTTATTCCGAACTTTGACCAACAGGACGCATGCGAAACACTTGAACCTCACATCACGCCATGTAACGACATCGTCTCACCCTCTCCCCGCCAACGTACTTCCGCCTGGGCACCAAGAAAAAGAGACAGAAAAAAAATCCAAAACAAGACTATTGCATGAAATTTCTGTCCAACATACTCAAAAGGCCTTATTACGGGGCATGGGGAAACGGGACGATTCCATAGTATATTGCGAAATGAGAAATAGAGGGATGACGGGGGCCAGGGTAGCGGACACCGCCCCCACAGAAAACCCATATTATCCCGAGACTTGAGCTTGAGGTCTCCACGATCTCGATAAGATAACGAGAAGAAGAAGGTGGCTGGGACTATGACTGGGAAAAGGGGACTGGGGGGACCCAGAGGGCCAGGAGGTATGATGACCACCATCCTTCCATTTTCCGTGTCCCACGATTAAACTAGGAACCCCCCAGATCGTCACCCCGAAAAAAACTTCCACACGAGTCGCGATGTCAAGGGTTGCCTGTTTAGGCAGGATATTCGGGGGACCGGGGGGTTTACCGGGGGGAAAGAAAGTGCAGAGAGAAAGAGGGCTTGTCCATGTTTCACTTTCAACGTTTTTAACTAGCAAGGGGTGTGGGCCTTGGTTAGTGTGTAAGTAATCCCCGGTAGTTAGTTACCGCCGTAACGAGAGAGAGAGAGAGAAAGAGAGCACGCCATACTTAATTTCTGCTGCGATCGGGCCCCCCTTGCGCTACTACTTACGCAAACAGTCTAAATGGATGTGAAGGGAAAAGTGCAGGGTTGTAACTTGACAAGTTTGACACCGATTGACGATGTAGATCAGGGTTTGTCATGTAAACCTTAGCTAGCTAGCTCAGCAGCCTAGCGTACGTAGTAACCCCGACTATCTTGTCCATCGCAATACCAACGATAAAGACCAAAAAAAAGGGGGTCCATCAAAGTGCCTGTCTATGTACATAGAGTTTCGAACTACTTACAAATTCCGCGCCTTGCAACGAGAACAAAGGTTACACCACCAGCAGCCTCCATTGCCCATTCCCCCTCCCAAAACAGCACTAGCGCCATCCCGCCCTCATACTTACGCTTTAGGGCGAGTGTGCGGCGGGCATGCTACTCGAGAACTGTGATACGGTAGCCCTACGTCTACTTGAAACCCTCAACAAAAAACTTTACCCATCCACAACAAATGTCATCATCAAACAAAAGGAATCCCAGAAACCGTAGCCACGGGTTCCAGAATTCCAGAACAATTCCTCAAATGAATGCCCGAAAAAACAAAACCCGGCAGGCAGGTACATATACGTACATGGCTAATTTCCCACGCGAACACAGGGCCTGGATGATGTAGTAAGACGGGGAGAATACCGGTCCTCAGGCCCCATTCGCCCGTTGTTTCTACGCAACGTATCAACCGGAATGCAACGTCGTACCGTATACCCTTCTACTCAACTCTGGTCCTCAGCCCCATCCACCCGTCGCATCCTGCGCTCTACTCCGGTCTCCAGACCAACCTGCGTACGTACGCTACTCTACCACGAACGCGTACCCGAGTCCTCTAATCTCAACTACTACTAACAAACGTACTGAACTCCCGCCTCCCCCCCCCCCTTCTCCTACGTACACGCACATATTCATCCTCGACTCACATGACTCAAATCACCGTATCTACTTTACTCTGGTCCCGCCAGGCGACTTGCTCTGCCCATCACGACGCGTACACGCATCCTCTAATCTCTCGTGAAAAAAAAAACGCTCCCCCTCCCCCTCCCCTTCATACTACTTCCACCCTTACTTCCACCCCCCACGTGACTTTCCCCCACCAACTCCACGTGCGTACCCATCCTACCATACACTTACATCTGCCGTATGCCCCACTACTAGCACTACGTAGCTTACAAAATCCACGAGTAATGAAAAAAAGTGGGCGGGTTGTCAGTATGTCGGTCCGACTGTGAGGTTGTTGATCAGTGGATTCACATGTCGTTGGCGCCGACGGGGGGGGGGGTATTTTCAGCCGCTTAGCGCGGCGATGTTTGGAAGGGGGGGTGATGGGATTGTTAGAGGGATGGAGGTGTGGAGGGGTGGTGATGCTGGGGTGGTCTTGGGGGTCAACAAGTTTTTTCTTTTGTGGGAGTGCGGTTATTGAGAGGTGCAGAGTGATTGAGAGGTAGAAACATGTCGAGTTTTACAACTTGTTCATGGGGATGAGGAGGTAATAAAGAATACATCTGAATTGATGTTGGTTAATCATGAACACGTAGTCCATGTCATCTAAGAGGAATCTATCATCTACAGCGACAAACGCTATTCTTCTTAGTATTTGTAAAAGGAAAGAAAGAAACCAGGACCCCAATGCGCCATACACCTATGCTATGCTGTACAGGATTAAAAAAACATATCGAGAATCAAAAAGTCAACCATCTATTCCTCCAGCACACCTGTCGCCATCATGCTCTCCTTTAGAGCCTTCTTGTACTCGCGCTCCATGCCGTGCTTGACAGCGTCAAGGACAGTGTTTACTGTGGCCTTGGGCTCGAAGCGAGGCTTGGTACCGTCTTGGAAGACACCAGTCTTGACCAGGATCGAGTACCAGTTGGCGTCGGGGTTTTGCTCATTGTATTCATTTGTACCGCGAATGTCTGATTCTGGTGTGTCGCCTACAAAGTAGACAGTGGAAGGAGGCGAGTCGATACCGTGGGTGTCTTTGCGCCATTCCTGGAGCAGCCGAGTAGCGAACTGGAAGGTGCCGATTTGTGGCTTTCCAAATGCAGTTGTCTCAAGGGTACGGCCAGTGACTGCCTTGAACATGGCCTCCAAGGAAACGCGGAGAGCACCCATACCAATACGGGTAAGGTCGTGCGAAGCGCTCCAGACCACGTCGTTGTGCGAGAAGAAGACTGGCGGGCCTTCGTCGTAGTTCTCGGACCTGGTGCCAAGACGACCCTTCTTTGACATGAGCAGGTCAAGAATGATCTGCTGGTCCGACGCCCAATCACGTGAGTCGGCGAAAACGAAAATGGCCTCGATCTCAACCTCAGCAAAGTTGCGGGTTCGGGAGTTGTTGTACTCTTCCTCTGTAAGCTTGCGGAAAGGGGTAGTATCTTGGTTGTCCTTGATGATGTCACCAGGGGTTACACTGAGGTCGTGTTAGAAACAGGTATGCGGGCGGAACAGCGGACGAGACTTACACATCCTTGAATCCGTAACCTTCGGCGACAATGCGGCACTTCTCTCCCTCGCCACCGACGACCAGCACAGTACCATACTTCTCGGCCATCTCCCTCATTGGAGTATGTCCACAAATGAACTGGCCAGGCGAGACTTCAATCTCTAGCTGCTTGCTCAGTTGGATGCATCGCTCAGCTTCGGTCTTGCCGCCACCATTGGTGACGAAAATGTATGGGACTTGGATGCCATATTCATTGTCACCGTTGAGCATCTTCATGGCCTCAATGGCTTCTGGAATGGGACGGCCACCACGAATGAGGACACCGTCAATGTCTATGCATAGTTAGAACTATTTCGCTTCACATGGGACTTAGTCTAACGCACCAAAAGCAAATGCATATTTGTCCGTGACAGATGTTTCAGGAGGAGTCAGATCAGGTGATCCAGGGGCGACAGCATCGAGGTGACGTCTGGCAGTCTCGAAGCCGCTGGCAATTTCCGACTGTTTGGATGGGGCCATGAGATGTTGTGGGGGCACAACGACGGTCGGGCCCATGTTGATATTCTCGCGGGTAGCCTCTACTGCTGAGAGGCGACGCACGAAACCGCTTCCCGCTACGGGAACTGCAAGAGGTGCCGACATGGTGTAAGGTAGTTTTGTACAAAATTTGTTCCAATCACGAAGGTTTGCTAGAAAACGATCTCCTCTGGAAGGTGGAGTTTGGAGGCTGTGGCGAGTTGATAGCGGGGGAAGTTTGGTGGTCTTTATAGCGTGTGAGCCCGATAGTCAGGTCGATTCTCCAGAAAACCCCTCAAGTAAGCGGAGAGAATAGTGGGTATGTGGATATGTGGGAACGTGGAGGTGGGTTGTAATGCTACATGGTTGGTTTGCGCAAAGATACCGAGTGTTTTATACCAAAGACAAACGGTCAATCCAAGCTGAACCCTAGTATTGCTAGAGTGACAATCTTCATCATTAGTGGCATAATACTCTGCACGTCTACGTCGATTCACCAGACCTTGAACATGAGAACTACTAGTTTAGGACTTTGTCGGTGAGTATTGCGTAGAGTGATGGCGTCACCCGGTTGAAACAAGCGCAAGGGACGCTTTAGAACGTTGAGTTCGATGGCAGTACAATATCCCAGCCGTGTGCTTCTCGACATGTGCTTGGAGATTGTGGCACGTTTCTCGATGCTGATTCGATACATACGACAGTGATGTTGCAATAATTGTGGGTATACGGCCGAAGTTGTGCGGCTGCTTGAATTCCTGGCAATCTTGGATTACATACTTACAGCCGTCTCATGCGCGCCATGTGGCAGACGGCCGCGGTTGGTGTTGTCGCTGTGGAACGGTGTTGCAGAATTTTGAAGTTCTTCGGCGCTATGATGTCACTGATGATTAGGTTGCATGTCGCTACGCCGCATGAGAGCATACATCCTCACCGGCCGGAGGTGCCCGCGAATGAACGTTCGTCAGGGACTCAGGGACTATGAGTCGCCGTGTCAAACACTTGCCAAGTGTGAAAATGGACACGAACGAAATGCCAGCCGCCCTGGTCTTTTGGCGAGGACAAGCCGGCCTGCGTTCTCGCCAAGCTTCGGGGACTTGATGAGGCAACTTGAGGCTCAACGGAGGCTGTCTCGGCAGACATGCCAAACGTTGAGCCGTCCTGTCAGGGTCTGGCGCGTCGCATCAAGGAACGGCATCAGCATCCGCCGTATAGTGCAATCGTTCGTGCTTGCGATATTGTGATAGCAACAGCAACAACAGTTTGCGATATCCTCGAATTGACGCCCGCACCATCGTCCCATCTCTTGCTCCGAGTAAAACCGCGCGCGCGCATCTACACAGCCTACACACAGTGGATCGCTAGTACCTAGAGTAGGACAGGTATCCACATCCAAGGCACAAGCATGGGTCACTTGACGTAACTGTACATGACCCTATAAGCCGCCCGGTGCTTTTTGCAGAGTGGATGACGGTTGTAGGTATGCGACTTGTACGTGAAACCGGGCCAGGTCGCAATAAAGGTAGCAATGAGGCATTTCTGCAAGACAGAAGTGACGCTGGCCATGTCAGTTCTCTCGGCCACGACAACAACGACAAGACCAAAGACTGCGTATGCTACCAGTAAGTGACATTGGCGCAACAGTGGAGGATGCAGGATTGTCAGGCAGCCTCCCAATAGGACTACGAGTACATTTAGTGGCTAGTCATCGTACGCATCCCTGGCGCATAAGGGCGTCTGCAAATGCCGAGAAGCCGTTTAAGACCGGAAGCAATCTGCAAGAAGTAATGATCGGACGACGTCGCTGTTGAAGGTGAAGGGATATTCGCTGCGCTGTTGCCGCTACCGCTGCTAGCGTTTGGTGTTTGGATGCTGAAGAGATGGAGAAAGGACCACCAGAGCAGAGAAGGCGGGGTGTGGTATCGAATCCACGTCTCCACGCCTCCACGTCTCCACGAGTTTCCTGGAGCGGCTCCAGATTTGCAACCAGCGGGAATTAACCAGTATAAGTTCTATCTACACACCAAGTTCCGCGGACTCACCGCAATTTCTGGCACATCGGTCGACTGTCGCTAGGGCGGCGCTATGCCGTCCTAAAGTGCTTTGCTCTGCAGGTCTCGGGCATGATTGTGCGAGACTTGCTTCACGCACCAGGTTCCCGTCGCAGGGACTCGGTTCAGCTGCCGTGCTCCACTGTTTTTGCGGAGGGACGAAGTGGGAGTGCTGATCGGTTAGGGGAAGTGGGCCCTCTGGTCTTTGGCAGTGTCGCTGTCGGCACAGTACAGCCGAGTATGTCGCGGATATGGTGTTTCACCGATTGTGAGGGTAGACGGATGTGGATCGGTGCTTCGAGTATCAAGTGCTATGATAAGTGTGAGCTCTGAGGCGGAGAGAGAGAGAGAGAGAGAGAGAGAGATGGGTGGGGTTGTTGGTCATGGGAAGGAAGGAGCACCTTGCATCGAATAGGCAGGAGCAGGACCGAACCACATGCGTTGCGATTTGCATCGCTGCCCCGCGTTAAGCTCCCACATGCCTTATCCATCTCCACATTACGAGTAAGACTTATCCTCTGAAGCCATGAATTGGACAGGTGGTTCACTGCAGCGCACTAAGAAAGCCAACTCGGGCATGCTGCAACGGCAGAGAGCGTATTTTGCCAAGGCACGAACAAACCTTCAGAACATACCTCAAACGCCTGTTGCTCCCTTTATCCCGAGTTATCTTCGCGACAATAGCAAATCGGATTATCTAGCGGTTCCTTCATTTGAGTTGATCTCAGACCGACGTAGGGGGTGCTCTGTGAGAGGTCGAGAGGAGCCAGCACAGAGTGAGGGTATACCTGTACCAGACGACAAGTGGTGCGCGATCAGCAGGCATCAAGTATCTCCACACGAATCACCCATCAGGCGTGTCGCTCACCATGACATCCAATCGGAGACCTCACCTCAAGCTCAAGAAGGTAGTTGTGGCGAGCAGATCCATGATTACTTGCGTTGTGTTTACACAAAGAAACTGACGGCAGAGTAGACTTGAGTGGCCCGAAACGCAAGGCCCCAGACAAGAATGTGGAGATGCAACTGCTGGAGGCGAATAAGAAAAGGCTGTTAACACGGGCAGATTGGATCGGCATCGACGCTTCAAAGCCAGTGCAACTGCAATTTGTGTCGTGCAAGCAGAAAGAGAAGATTGGCAAGCGCAGAAGAACGAGTGGAAAATGCCGCGCGCAGAGAAGACAGTGTGTTGAGGGAGAATTAAAACCAAAAAAGCCTCATCTTCAGCACCGGTCCTTTGCTAAACTCTTGGAAAGTCGTGCTAACCAGGACGGACCCGAGAACATACACATTCGCATAGGTACAGAGGCATTGACAGATGAAGAGTCTGATCAGCTCGAAGAGTGTGCGCAATCGGAAGCTTGTTCAAGTCCGATGCTTTTTGAGCAAGACGATTTGGTTTCCCACGTCGCAGCGACATGTGAAGATGCTCGGCACCATGGCGATGCTTCAAGTTGTGCGGAGTCTGTTGCAGGTAGAGACAATTGCGACAAGTTGCACCAGCAGCAGCTGACAACAGTGAATGTGGACGAATGCAATAGGTCGACATGCAGCTTTGGGCCCGTTGACCGTGGTCACAATGACGAGCGCAATCTGCGTTTTGTGTTTAGGGGCCGGGCCTCTCCCATGGGTCTACGTACTCACCACGTAACGGGCAGGCAAAAGATGGATGAAACACAGCTACTCGAAGAACGAGCATCGGCATCCACATGCCAGGCCAAACATGTGCATCGGGTCACCAATGACAGCGAGGACCCAAGTGCATACGCAATCGTCGATCAAGAACCCTGGATGGCGTATCTCGCAATTTCCGACGTTTCTTCACGGGAAAACGATACGGGAGTTTGCACCAAAGACGAATTGCAGCTTGACGAGAGCATTGCGGGAAATGAGAGTGGGTGTGATACAAGATGGTCAAAGGGCGCCACTCAGGGCCTGGAAGAAGAGGATGGTGAAAGTTTTGGGGTAGCGTCAAAATGCGAATGTTTGGCTTCGTTGGGGCGGGGTATAGTAGGGAGAGCGGCAACAGGGTATGTGCCGGAGATGAAAGGCATTCGCGCAGACCAACCAAATTGGAGCCATGTACAAACTTTGGGCGAAGATGAGAAGGAGTGGCAGGCGTTTGTCTTGGGTAGCGACCAGAGTCAATCCTTGCCAAGGGTGCAGCTGAATGCACGCCGACGTTTTGCGCAGACGGTAGTAGAGTATGCGCAAGAGGCATGTTCAGAGCAGCTGCCGCTATCCATTGCAGCGAGTTGCGCAAGCACCCCCGCCCGGAATGAAGCCGAAATTCCGTAGATTTGGTTCTTCCACACACGACAGGGGACGAGATGCAGCAGATTGAATGCTACGGGTGCGGCCATGCAAGAGGTATGTACGTATGTACAGAAGGAATTACTTTGGGAGAGATGTTGAGGAGACGAGAAGTGTTGGGCATTGTGAGTCAATGGTTAAAAGGTGAGGCGGTAGGTGGGCAGTGAGTGACTGATGCATGTGTACTGGCACATACTAGTACATCTATCCACTTGGCTGCCTAGGAAGCAAGGCATGTTTAGATGTGGCTTGTCCCTTTGAACGTTCAGATGCAACGTCCCGTAGCAGCACTTGGACATTCGGGGCGACTCAGATTGGCATAGACGAAAGAGCGCCGAGTAAGGAGCAGAGTAGTGTATACAGGTATTCGGGCCGGGCGGGTATGAAGAGTGAATAGGTGGGTAGTGTACTAGGACTAGTAGCAGTTGCGATACCCCAGTCAGGCGTGACGACGGAGTGTATCGTTGTAGATCCCAACAAGCGGTAGCTAAGTAGACACGGACGTATGTACTTATGCCTGATCATCGTTTCAGCGGGGACGTGGGATGAGGCGGGACTAGAGAAGTGGATTGGCCCGTTTTGGCCGAGGAGCAAATGGCAAGGCCCATGGTTTGACTTTTAAAGTGGTAGGCTAGCGTAGCTGGCGACGTACCGTCGTGTTGCATGTCAGCGAATGAAGATGGGCAAGTGGCATTGTCTTTGTGTGTCGCTGACGCGCTACGTGAATAGGGCCCGGATGGCGTCGAAGCGTTGGAGACGTTAGCTGGTGGGTGTTGGCAGCGTTGGCGCCTTTTGGCAAGGGCAATTTTACGAGTGCGTGCTCGGTGTTAGTGTGTTGATGTGCGTGCGCAGGACGGACGCATTGAGAAGGGGCGAGTGAGGGAGGTGTACTGTAGGAGGGAGTGTAATACATGGCCATGCTAAGAGTTTGACGAATGCAGCAACTCGAGTATGGACAGAGGGCACGCCAAGATGGGGAGCAATGCGAACACCTGCAGAGGATGCGTCAGAGTCGGATCAACATGCATGTCGTGGGTAGTAGCAATTGTTTGAAGAGGGGAGGGGAGGGGGTGGCCCGGGGCAGGCCGAGTGACGTGCGGGGCTCTATTTCTGGGTGAGCCCTATGAGTTGAGAGGACGTGGTGACCGGGCATCCTTGTCTTTTGGCCCAAGTGGACTCGGACCGGGGCAAAGGATGGAAATGCCAGAGCCAAAGCCAATGCCGGTGGCGGTGCCAGAGTTACAGGCGGACAGGCGGACAGACAGATGGACAGACACGGTGAAGCCCAAGGGCAGGCGGTGGTCATGTGAGGGCGCGGGGTGCGGTGATGATTCAGAGCAGCGTGCAGTTGGGGCGAGCAAGAAACGATTGGACCCAGAGGACGGAGAGGACAGAGGACAGCACACCGCCAGCCGGTCACATGGACTGGCTGAGTGGCAGGCAGGTCCGGATAAGGGCGAGAGGGCCACGACGGCAACAGCAGACAGTCCACAATTGATGTGCGGGGGGCGTTGTGGCATGATTGGCGCTCGGACGCCAGGGGTAAAAAAAAATCCTTTGCCTTCTCGAAGCCGTGGAAAGATGACTAGCCGGGCGACCGTCACGCGACTCGGCGAGGCAGCAGTAGGTAGTAGCAACTAAGTAACAGCACAAGCACAAGCAGCCGTGGGCCTGTCGTGGGCATGGCGAGTCATCGGGGGATTGCACAAGGGAGCCGTGAAGCAGCCGGGCGGGCAGGAAATTGGTGGCTCGAGGCAAACTTTGGCCATGACGACGGCGGATCCCTGGCCTCTGGTTGCGCCGTCGTTGGTGATCGAACCGTTGTGCCGGCTTCGCACTTGGTTTCACCCTGCCCGCGCGCCACGTGTGAGCCTATCGAGGCGCGCCCACAGCCACACATGGGGCGCCCCAGCCCGGCCAACAAGCGGCTTCCATGGCACTCGTCCTCCTCACCCACTACTCTACTCGGGGGAGTCATGGTAATCTACCATGGACAAGCAAGTACAGCACAGCACAGCACAGCAATAGCAAACTGAACCCTCACCGGTGGGTCAAGACACGAATGACCCACGCACTTCATGGCCATTGTCCTTTGTCGGGCCCGTGGACGCTGCTGCCCTACACCGACGTCTGCAGCTGCATACACACCCGACAATGATGATGTTGGTGGTGATGGGTGATGACGATGCAAGCAAGCACGCTGCCAGCCTTGCCAATGCTGCCTTCTCCTCTGCTTGCCTCAGTTTCCGGCATGGGATCCCCCTCTTTGGCCGGATGTAACGGCAGCGCTACAGTGGCTGTACGCACTTCTACGTGCATGGAAATACGTAGTAGCTGGATGCAACTCGCCCTCGGCCTCGCAGGTCGCCTGTCAGCGGGAAGCGGCAGCGTAGGCGCAGGCGGCGGCCGCCATGGTCCTCCTTGGTGCACATGCCTGCACCTCTCTCTCTCTGCCTTGGCTCACCTGGCTGCACACTGGCATGCAGGCGGGCGTGATTGGCAGCGGTGCAGCTGGCGGTGCAGCAAATGGTGGATGGTGGATGGGACAACCTTGGGCTGCGTCATTGTCGACGCCGTTGCTCGGTGGGGCCTGACCAGTGTCGCGGCTCGCACTGGTTACCGCTAGCACACGAGACAAACAGGGAAGAGGGCTTTCGCAGCCCGAGTTACCATGTCTTGACGCGGACTTGGGCCCGACCGACAAGGAGGCACGGAGTCAAGGTCAAGGCATGCTGTCTGTGGCATAGGCGTGTCGTTTGCAAAGTTAGCTGAGAAAAATTCCGTCTGCGGCTTGTCTGTTCCTGGCCGCCGCCTTGCTGGCCCACTGCCCTGCCGCTGCCCGCTGCCCTGCCCACGGGCCTGCCCATATACATAGTAGTCCGAATACCTCCTAACAGAATACACACACGCACACACAAAGCCTGCCCGCTCCTTAGCTGTTAGCATTAGTCCGCCCTGCACTACCCGCTAGAGCTAGCAAAACAATTACACCCACACACGACATTACTCTACCACACACTCACCCACCCCCGACACTCCTCACTCGACCACCACTACCACCACCACCACCACATCACCCGCCTGCCACCGCTGCTGCTGCTGCCACCTATTACTTACTCCTCTTTCTCAACCCATCTCTCTCCACCCCGCCCAATCCCCTCTCGGCATCCGCTGCTGCAGCTGCCCGTCCTTCTCCGCACATCATCCCACTGCGTTTTTAACGAGCCTGGTGCGCCCGCCCTGGTCTGCCGAATCGCTTGCTGCAAAAAACCCCAACCGCCCCCCACGACTGCTCCGGAGTACTTCAGATCGCACAGTATCCATGCAACGTGCATGCAAGGCCGTCTCCCAGTAATCCCAGCTGACCTCCGCCTGCACCTCGCGCAGCGCGCGCTTCCTCGTCCAAACTCGTCATAGCCAAACGCATTCTGTCAGTCTCACGATGCGATCCAGTTCCTAGCCTGAGCTCTGCCAAAAAAAAAGGACCCAGCAGGCTGTTGATCCTATCTGCTTTTATTCCCCAGTGGCGCCCGCCCGCCTTGACGCTCCTTCCACACATCCACATCCACTCACAACTCCCGCACACACCCCCTCCTACTCCAACTCGCCCTCATACTCCTGCTCTCACCAATTGCCCGCGCCATGAAGATTTACTAGCACGCCCCGACATCAGCCTTTTGCTCTCTCAGACATCCCACCACCATGTCACTCCTCCACGACTCCTACGCGCGCCCGCGCATGCCCTCGCCCTCGCCTAGTTACGCTCGCGCCATTAGCATTTCCGCCCGTGGCAGCCCGGCCCTTACTGCCTCTTGCCTCAATGGTTCCCTCCAGTCAACCCCAGAAGGCATGGTGCCCATCTCGTCATCGCTACCCGCTATCCCTTCCTACACACTGCCAGAGTCGTTGCTCCCTCCTCCCGTTCAGTCGCAGCCAACTTCTTCGCCATCGGCCATGGCGGAAGCCCTAGGCAAGGGTCCAGGCCTGATTCGACGAGTTAGCCGGGGCGCCCAGGGTATCCCGCATCGCTTCCGTCGCGGCAATTCGACTGCTCAGCGCGACAAGAGCTCTGGTCCCGTCATTATGCGCCGCCGCAGCGACAGCAGGACTGCCGCCGACGGCGACACAGGCATCTCCGACTTTGACGCTTTCGAGGAAGAGGAGGCTATTGAAGATACATACGAGCCCATCCACGGGCTTGGCATCACCGGCCCTTCGCCCAGCTTCAGCTCAATACCCGACACCGCGGTCGTAGCCCCGGTACGCAACTCACGCCTCGAACAGGGCACTGTTTTGAAGAAGATTACCAAAAAGGAAAAGAAGGAAATCAACCTGCGTCTGGACCTGGAATCCGCAAAAGTCTTCTGGGACCCCTCCAGACCCTCAAAGGCCTTTTACATTGATGATGTAAAGGAAATCCGCTCCGGTCCAGAAGCAAAGCACTATCGCGAAGAGTGCGGACATTCAGAAAACTGGGCACCATACTGGTTCACCATTGTATACACCGACACAACACGATCAAAGGGCCGGATACGAACCATGCACCTCATCGCACCCGACGTTGGTGTCTTCAACATGTGGACCCAGACACTCGAATCCGTGTCACGTAACCGCATCGACCTGATGGCTGGCCTCATGGGCTTTGCCGACAAGAGTGCCAAGCTCGTGTGGCAAGGCGCAATGAAGAAGCGTGAAGGCGAAGAGTCCCTCGACTTCCCCAGCATTGTTGAGTTGTGCCGCAGCTTGCACATCAACTGCAGCGAAGCCACTCTTCGCATCTACTTCCAAAAGGCCGACACTCAGTCCACTGGAAAACTCAACCAACAACAATTCTTGTCCTTTGTCAGGCGCCTAAAAGAGCGCAAGGACATCAAGACAATCTACAAGTCCCTGACATCAGGCTCCAAAATCGAAATGGACAAGGTTACCTTCTTCTCCTTTCTCCAACAAGAACAGGGCGTCGATGTCAACGCAGACCTCGAATACTGGACCAACACATTTGAGCGCTTCGCACGTGCCACCAAGCCTCGAGCGCCTGCCACACCTGTCGAGGGCGGTGACATTCCTCTGCCCCTGGCCATGAACTTCTCGGGTTTCCAGACATTTCTCACGTCTGCCGCAAACTCTATTCTTCGCCCGGTTGGTCGCCAACAAAAACTCGATCGACCATTGAACGAGTACTACATCTCTAGCTCTCACAACACATACCTCTTGGGCCGCCAAGTAGCTGGTGAATCTAGTACAGAGGCATACATTACTGCACTTCAAAAGGGCTGCCGATGCCTTGAGATTGACTGCTGGGATGGAGCAGACAACGTCCCCGTCGTCATGCACGGCCGAACTCTAACCAAGAGCATTCTCTTCCAGGACACCATCAAGGTCATCAACAAGTACGCCTTTACCGAGTCGCCATACCCCGTCATCCTATCGCTCGAGGTTCACTGCTCGCCAGTCCAACAGTCGGCCATGGTCAAGATTATGATGCAAGAGTTTGGCGACAAGCTGGTGCTTCAACCCCTGGACTTTGAGTCGCAGAGCCTGCCTAGCCCTGAGGAGCTCAAGTACCGCATACTCATCAAGGTAAAGGGCGCTGCGGGTGACGAATTCGACACCAGAGCGCTCATTGGCGAAATCACGTCACGAAGGCAGCGCAGCTTCAGTTCACCATGGTCACGACCCATCATCATGAACGACAATGCTATCCCAAACTCGCCCCTTCTCTCAAGCCCGCCTTCGATGAGCCCGCCGGAGCGATCGGCTACCTTTTGGGCAACCCCTCGAACTTCAAACAATACGCTACCCACCTCAACAGCTGTAAGCTCGGCAGAAGACAGTGACAGCCCTAATGTAACTGCCGCAGAAGCTGCCGAGCTGGTTGACGACCGAAGCAAACCCAAGAAAACCAAGACGAGCAACATCACCAAGGAGCTAGGAAGCCTCGGAGTCTACACCCGCGGTGTCAAGTTTACGGACTTTGGCAGCACGGAAGCCAACACCTTCAACCATGTCTTCTCCATCAATGAGCGCGCCTTCGACAAACTCACCAAGCCTGGAGCACGTGAGAAGCACCTACTCGAAGATCACAACATGCGCTGCCTCATGCGCGTATACCCGCACGCCTTCCGCATCAACTCGTCAAACTTTGACCCTCTCAAGTTTTGGCGTCGCGGTGTGCAGATGGCCGCTCTGAACTGGCAGACGTACGATCTTGGCCAGCAGCTGAATGAGGCCATGTTCGCTGGTGGAGACGACCGCACGGGCTACGTCCTCAAGCCGGCGGCACTTCGCCTCGAGTCACAGACACCAGTTGTTGGTCACCGCAAGGCGCCCAAGAAGCAAGTCAAGTTTACCGTACAAATCATCTCGGCTCAGCAGCTGCCTCGTCCGCGAGGTCTCGGGCAAGAGGCCAACATCAACCCATACGTCGAGTTTGAGATGTACTGTGCTGAAGACATGGGTGCAAATGCTACAGGTATTGGAGGCCAGGACGCATCAGCACGCAACGGTCACTCGGGTATTGGAAACCCTCTGCGCAAGCGGACGCGCATTGTTGAGGGCAACGGCTATAACCCCGAGTTCGGCAATGAAATCGACATGACAGTGACAACAAGATACCCCAGCCTCGTATTCGTACGCTGGACTGTCTGGAATTCGCTTGATGCACGGACCACGAATCACGCGCCACTTGCTACCTTCACAGCCAAATTAAGCAGCATTCAGCAAGGCTATCGTCACCTTCCTCTCTACGACAGCAACGGCGAGCAGTACTTGTTCTCGACCCTCTTCTGCAAAATCAAGAAGCAGGACATTATCGATGCACCTGAAGTCTCGAGCGGCACTTCGTGCGGGTCCTCGATTGACCCTGGCAGCCCCCTCCAGGAGCCTACCAACACCAAAGCGAGCCGCAGCTTCGTCAGACGCTTGATCAGCCGTGCACCTAGTGAACGCAGGAGGCGCAAAGAAGAGCTGCACCGCACAGGAAGCGAGTCACGCGAATCTGACCTAGACCCCATTAGTCGCTCAAGCACAATGGAGCGATAGTCCAAGCTCCAGATACCGCCTCACTCCTAGGTGTGCAGCTGACAGTGTCGCCACGCATATCTGTAAGCACGAGTTCCTCGGCCTGCAGGTGGTGCACCATACAACTAGCAGCATGTTGTTCACCCCACATGTACTCATATTTGGCCGTGCGCCGGTTTCTTACTCTTCTAAGAAACCTGACGCCATGACATGGGCCACGGCTATGTGTCCCGCACCTTGACCCCAAACACGGATATGCGGAACAAAGCTAAGAAAATCTCGGGCAACGGCACCATGCGTATGCTCCCGCTTCCGACAACTATCGGATATCCAACAGAATCGCAATTACTACTGCTCGGCCCAGCAAACACCGCTTTGCACAAAAAAAAACAAAAAGTTATCCTTGATTCTCAGTCTGGTCCTGGGCGTCGATCGCTTTCATCCTTGCCGTGTGTATTCGATTCTAGCATATACCCTTTTTTTTCGCGACAACCTTTTTATTTCTTTTCATTGTGTTTTCCCGGGACCGGAAACATTGGAGTAGGTGAACAATCATAGGGAAACTATCATGGTTTGCCGGCGAGCAACCGTTTTTGCATCTTGGCGATATCCCCATAGACTTTTTGTTTTCAACTTTTCTTTTTCTTTTTTTTTGGAAGGGCTTCATTGCTCGAGTAACCAACCTCCTGTACAAACCTCTTCTTCTTCTCTTCTCTTCTCACTCTTCTTCTTACCAATACTTGTTTCATTTTTTCTCTGTAGCCATAGTGGGCTTGACGACTTTACGATGTAGCTTATTCTGGCATAGCCTAGTTAGCAATTCTGTAGGGCAGGATTCCACATTTTTTTCTTCATTTTTACAAGCGCTTCAACCGTTGATTCTTCGGTGCCCGCTTTTTTTTCCTTCTTCACTTTTTTTTCGTGCGCGTGGTTTTTTAATTGGAACCTCTTTTTTCTTCCTTTCTGTCCTTGTCGACTCACAACTCAACACATATGGGGCCGGGCCCAACAAAAAGATTTGGAGTCAAGGGCGGTGTGTAACCATTTGTTGAGAATTTTCCATTCTATTCTGGTTTGTCGTTCTATTGCTAATACTTGTGTATTTTTGCGCTCATCATTTTCTTTCCTTTGTCTGGTTGGGTATGTATGTATAGAAGGATTCCGGAAGTGGGCCAGTGAGGCGGTGGTGGGGGGATAGGCGTAAACGGAAAGGATACTTGGCTGGCCTCAAGGGGTTTCTTCGGCATCGGTTCCAGTTACACCAAGGGGACCAGGGGGGCCGGAGCGGGGTTTACAAGCAAAGGAAAACACGGTGTTCGAAGTCGAACCATTAGGAACAAAAAAAGCTACCAGCTTTTTTTTCCTTTCCGAATTTTCCTAATAAACCCCCGAAGAAGGCATTAAAAAACTACACTCTGATAGAAATGACAAATACGACTTATTTTCAAGCGTCAAAGGAAATCAAACAAAGATTCCTACGCTGACCATGCATATACCGCCTCTCTCTCTTCCACTCATCACGTGCGCCGTACCTTTTGCTACCCCATGTAACCCTTTCCCGCCTCGGACCTTTGCCAAACCAATAAAGCCGGAAGAGGGGAAGCGTCCGCCATAAAGCGGGGGGGGGAGGGGGGTGAGCAGAAAAGGCCCCCCAAGAAATCCATACATCAATAATACTAGCAACATCGGGAATATCACACCAAAAAAAAGGCAATTGCATCACAACCTCACATATCCTCACCCCTCCATCCCCTCGGGAGTATCGTACCTGCAAGATCTACATTCTCCCAACGCAACGATTACACCTTCATCCACCACGTGGTTACACGTGTACGTGCGGGACCCAAAAAAAATCCCGCTTCCATCGCCTCATTTTTTTTCCTCCTATGCATCGGGACCCAGATTTAAAACGTGTATTACGCACATACACAACTAAAAAAAACACGTCCATATATATAGCGCTTAATATACCAGAAAGAAAAAAAAACCCCCCGGGAGAGACAGGGAGACCGGGAGACGAAATATAACGAGTGCGTATAACGACTATACGCATTATACGCGGGTAAAGATCGATAGAAGTAGTAGCAGCACCGCATTCTTTACTACGCCCCCCGCAATTATTATTTTTGTTCTGTTGCGGCAAATTTGATAGTAATGGTGTGATTGTGCGAAAAGGGGGAAAAAAAAGGGCAAATGCGATATTGCAGTGGAGAGTAGAGTAGAGTAGAAGTAAGCAGGTAGGCAGGGGAAGCGTATAGGACGCGCATACGCATACGCATACACATACGCTTCATTCTTCTTTCCGTCTCGCATGGTTTACAAAGATAGAGCGAGAGAGGGGGGGGGGAACGTACCACGGCAAGGGGGAGCATCGGAAGGGCGAGATACTGAGTACTAGGGGGAAAACTACAAGGCTAGCGGACGGGAAGACACAGAGAAGGAGGGGGGGGAAGGGGATGCGAACGAGGTTCCCCGCATTTTTTAACCTTGTCAGGGCGAAAAAGGGCAAGGGCAAGGGGGGTTGTGTGTTTGAGGGAATTTGGATTTGGGTCTGTATGCGAAGGGGAGGGGGGCGCTCGAGCAACAGGAAGGGTTGTCTGGGGGATGCTTTGACATGGGGCGGGGGGAAGTAAATTATGGCGCGTTTTTTTTGAGCTTTGAGGAATGTTGGATGCGGTATTTTTTTTGACACAAGGGGGGGGGGCGGGAGTGTGCGGGTAAGGGAAAGAGATAGAGAGAGAATGAATACGTATTTGATATATCGATGAATTGCATATTCTTCAAGCATGCATTCTTACGTTGCATGTCGGCAAAGGGGTATTGATGTAATCGTAATGTCAGTATCGGACACACAACCCTCCCTCCACAGAAAAGAAAAAAGTACTGAACCAGAAGACAGAGACAGGAAAGCCCACTACCACCTAATGCAATTCCTCCGGAATTCCCCTGTCCACAATATCGAAAAATGAGCTGATTTCCCCAATTCCAATAACAAGATTTTTTCTTCTCCTCACCAAAAGAAGAAGAAGAGGTAGGCTGTCGGACGATCTGGGACCCATGCTTGTGTCCCGCGCGCGCCCGCGTTCCCGCGCAACGCAAGTTCGAGGTTGGGACTAGGCTGGGGCGCGGGAACGACCCGGACGGACACGGGGCGCAGCGGGTAAGGTTCAAGCACGCGCGTGCGCACGCGCGGGGGTGTGTGGCAAAGAGGAGAAAAGAGAATAGCAGCGCGACAGAAAAGTGAGGTAAGCTCGACTTCCTTTTCCAGCCCGTTCAATGGCACGCATTCTAGGCTTGCGGAGGGCGAGTCGGACGGGCGCTGGCTGGACTGGGTTCTATTTGGAAAATTTCCCTCCCCCTTTTCCCAGTTTCTTTTTACCTCGTTCAACAGATTTTTTGGATGTGGAGTTCTACTTCTTCAACTTCCGATAGTTTGTGGTGTGTCGTGTGTCGTGTGCTTTCTCAATGGTAGTCGCGGGCGCGTGGGATACTCCGAGAATGTGGAGAGGAGGAGACAACATGCTTGCGCGCGTTTCAAGCAACCCCATGTAAACACCACGACCTCAGCACATCCAAAAAGCCAATCCAATATTGCTCCTATGGTCTATGCTCAAACTCCGCCTTCACTGATGTCGTGCGACCATGCTCGGATATACCGCGGCTGTGCTTCATGTCCATGTTCTCACCAATCGCAACACCCTGGTCCGCCCGTCTCACGTCTTCGTGCTCCTCTTTTTTGGGGGGTTTGCTCTCACTAATACTGCACCTGAAGCGCGAGGACGTCTCATCCAATCGTGAATTACTACGGAGCAAACCGCATCTTTTTTTGTATGCATGTATCCTATATTTACCGAGTCATGGCCGGCAGCAGCCGGTGTCAAAGCGAGATAATCACACTTGCTTGGTCTGCGCCTTGCAGCTGCATGCCCCGCTTTCTCAGCTTCTTGCTCGGCGGGAATATGTTACACAGCATGCGCGCAATACGGAGCGCACGGTGAGCGTTGCGTGAGCGGGCGGAGGCATTAGCCGTGTTGGTAGGGATAGCGATGCAATCACCCCCTCTTGCTCTCTATCTTTCTCTCTCTTTGCTACGCGCCAGAGTTGATACAATAGTCTTGTATCTTTTCCTTCTCATTTCAGCAATTAGGCAGCATTGGCAACAAGGTGATGCTCACTGCCCAGTCTGACTGCCAGGCTCCGACCAAAGAGAAAGAGAAAGAAGAAGGCTGCCTGCAGTGGCATGCAGCCTTTTCGGCAACAGGGCCGGACCTCTCACAAACGTGCATACTGTAGGAATAGGCAATACAGTCTTGTGCCTTGCGTCCTGCGTGCTGCGTGACATCGGAATAGGCCCGAATAGCCCCCCATCTATGGCTACGTGTTACCGCCTGCATGGCAGCAGAGGCTGAAAATGGATGTGGCTGCACAAGAACCTTCTAAGCTTTCGGATCGGACTTGTACTACTGACCTCGATCGGTAGAGAGCATGTCGTGATAGTATGCCATAAGCTGAATTTCCATTTTGATTGCTGCTCGCAGTAGTTTCAAAGCCAAGATGGCCATGTGGCTATCTCGCTTGATGTCTTTGTGTGCCGGTGGCTCCAAGGTGCGAGATATTGGCGCTACTGAAGTGTGAGGCTGCAACACATGTACAGTCCTATTCCTATATTAGACGTCATGCCGCGATGAATGGGGCTGGATATCCACCGGTATCCAGTTGTTCTGCATGGCCATGCCGATCCACCTGCCCAAACTGCGGAGATGGACATGTGCGACATACCAAGAGTTTCGCAGTACGACAACCGAGACAGGGTGCGCCATGCGAACCTGCATGGAATCAGACGCTGAGCAACGTGGTCCCAATTGTGGGGGTTGCATATGGGCTGATAGCCGATCGCATGTCAGCATCGTGGTCCTATGGTGAGAGATTCTGGCTTTTGCAAATGCGGTAGCCTGCATGGTGCTAAATGCACGGCGTTGTCGTCTGACATTTTGCAAATACGGCTCCAACTTCCCCCACACTCGCATCAAAGATGTATGCTGTGCTGTGGAATTATAGTGGAAGTGCATATGCACAGGCAAATGCACGCAAGTACAAACCTGCTTTGTGCAAGTCTGATCATCATGACGGGACAGCTGACAGACTGCACATTGTGAGCTGGACGCAATATATGGAATCACCGCTAGCAGTAGATGCACAAGGCAGCCGTTGACAAGTTGCATATGCAACAACGTGATCAAGTTGAACCGCACCATGTGTGTAGTGGACAGCTGGTGCTGGAACTTAGTCTTGCTCTCGCTGTGACAAGCAGGCAGACCAGTAGACAGACCGGCAGGCAGCCCAAGGCGAGAGCGCTGGTGTCGACGGTATGGCACTGACAACAGAGATCTGGCCACTGCACTAGCTGCCAACACTTAGGAAGAGTATCAAAGATGAGCCATGTGATGACTTGGACCCTATCGATCACATGCTCTCTTGGTATTGAAAGACTCGACCGCAGATGTATGGGGATTGGAATGAGTAGCTGAGACAATGTGCAGCCATATAGGAAATATAAAAATCGATCCTGATACGATGGGCAAATAGGAATACCCATCTGTCTTAGCTCGGTTATAGCCGTCTTGTTGTGTTAAATAAATCGTAGTATCAGGATGGGCCGAAGAGACATGGAAGCATTGGGTTGCCAACTGCATTTTCTTCCTTTGGTGGGAGACCGAACGCATTGTTTATGCTTACACAAGCCCTGATAAGAGGATGTGTAGAAGATGGCCTCTTACCCAAGCGTTCTTCCAAGGAAAGTGTCAAGGGCAGACGGTGCGAATAGCTTGTACCACAGGCCTGTAGATTATAGCGGGTAGACGAATGATGATAGATCCTAGATTGTGGCCAGTCCAGCATGTGCTTTGTGAGATTTTTCATTTACACCAATGGGCCTCGATGCATGGTTACAGTGGCTGTCAATGACGTGTGTGGGGCAATCGAACGGTTGTTGGCGATGGCGGTCTTTCTGCTGGGCTCTTGTAAGTTAACATGTCCTTAATTGCAGATTGATGACTGTGTAGAGGGATGTGGTCTGGTGTTTGCATATGCAGTGCTTGATGAAAAGAAGGTACGGTGTTGGGAGTGGGCATCAAGGCAAACGTGGGAGAGAGCACGCGCCAAGGGCAATATGCTCCGACATCCCGACCCCGCTGGACTTTGTTTCAACACAATCTTTGTCCGCCACAATCCATCTACACTCAGTCGCAAACCCACACGCGCAACGTCAAGGCCTTGTCGCGCTGGCAATGGTGTGAGCAGAAGAGACGGACATATTCTCAGCTCCTGCTGTCCACCAACAACATCAACATCACCCACTACCACCACCACCACCACCTCGAAACTTTGCATTTGGCCCCACGAATTTCCAGGCCCAACCGGGGTTGAGTGAGGCCTCGAGCGCCACACGACTTAAATTCGACTCCGGCCGAGACTACGACGAAGACGACGAAACCGACGACCACGACCACGAATATGGAGGGCGCCTTCACGCACATGGGCAACCACCTGGTGTCGGACTCGGCGGCCACAATCAACGCCGGCGACGTGGATGAGGGCATTCTGGATGGCGACCTCTCCCGCGGCCAGCTTTCGCGCAGGCGCCGCGCCGATGATGACGAAGAGTATGACGATGATGACGCTGAGAGCATGGCCAGTATGCCGGTAGGCGGCCGAGGGGGCCAGTCGGCCATGCGTGCGGAGGATGCGGAGGTTGAGCTGCCGGCCCATGCGTGTACGTAGGAAGGAAGTGGGCGGGCACGACCAAAGGCTGTACTGACTGACCGGTTGCTTTAGGCGCGTACTGTGGCATCCACAACGCCGGGAGCGTCGTCAAGTGTCTGGCCTGCAGCAAGTGGTTCTGCAGTGCCCGTGGAAACTCGTCGTCATCGCACATCATCAACCATCTGGTCCGCGCCCGCCACAAGGAAGTCCAGTTGCATCCCGCCTCTTCGCTCGGCGATACGACACTCGAGTGCTATAATTGCGGCACCAAGAATGTCTTCCTGCTCGGTTTCATCCCCGCAAAGTCGGACACGGTCGTTGTGCTGCTCTGTCGCCAGCCATGCGCCGCAATGCCCTCGCAGAAAGACATGAACTGGGACACATCGCGCTGGCAGCCCCTCATTGAAGACCGTTCCTTCCTTCCCTGGCTTGTCCCTCCCCCAACCGATCAGGAGCAGCTCCGCGCCCGTCATCTGAGTCCCCAGACCATTGCAAAGCTCGAGGAACTGTGGAAGGACGACGCCAATGCTACAATCGCCGACCTCGAAAAGGGCGCCGGTCAGGAGGAGGTCATCGCCAAGGTCTTGCTTCGATACGACGACGCCTACCAGTACCAGAATGTCTTTGGCCCCCTGGTCAAGATTGAGGCCGATTACGACCGAAAACTTAAGGAATCCCAGTCGCAGGATAACTTGGTCGTGCGCTGGGACATGGCCCTGAACAACAAGCACACGGCTAGCTTCATCCTCCCTAAGCTTGAATTAGGCGACGTCAAGCTCGCCGTCGGTGACGAGATGCGATTGCGCTATACTGGAGAGCTCCGCCCACACTGGGAAGGTGTCGGCTATGTCATCAAGATCCCCAACAACCAGTCGGACGAGGTCACCATTGAACTGCGCACCAAGGGCGACCACAAGTCAGTTCCTACCGAATGCACTCACAACTTCAGTGCCGACTATGTCTGGAAAGCTACCTCCTTTGACCGCATGCAACATGCTATGAAGACGTTTGCTATTGATGAGATGAGTGTTTCTGGCTACATCTTCCACCGTCTGCTTGGTCACGAAGTGGCAGCAGCCCCTATGAAGGTTACGATTCCCCGCAAGTTCAGCGTCCCAGGCCTTCCGGAGCTCAACAACAGTCAAAACAATGCTGTAAAGAGCGTCCTCCAGAAGCCACTCAGTCTGATTCAAGGCCCTCCTGGTACTGGAAAGACAGTTACGTCCGCCACCATCATCTACCACCTTTGCAAGATCAGCGGTAGTCAGGTCCTGGTTTGCGCACCCTCCAACGTTGCCGTCGATCAGCTGTGCGAACGTATTCACCTTACTGGACTCAAGACAGTTCGTGTAACTGCAAAGTCCAGGGAGGATGTCGAGTCTCCGGTTGGCTTCTTGTCCCTTCATGAGCAAGTTCGCATGAACGACACCAACGTCGAGCTCAACAAGCTGAACCAGCTCAAGAACGACGTAGGCGAGCTCTCAAGTCAGGACGAAAAGAAGTTTAAGCAGCTCACTCGTGCGGCTGAGCGTGAGATTCTGAATGCAGCCGACGTCATCTGCTGCACTTGCGTTGGTGCCGGTGATCCTCGTCTGTCTAAGATGAAGTTTCGCACTGTGCTTATCGACGAGTCGACACAGTCTGCAGAGCCAGAGTGCATGATTCCATTGGTCCTGGGATGCAAGCAGGTTGTGTTGGTTGGTGACCACCAGCAACTTGGACCCGTCATCATGAACAAGAAGGCTGCAACAGCTGGTCTCAACCAATCTTTGTTTGAGCGTCTCGTCATTCTTGGATGCTCTCCCATCCGACTCCAGGTCCAGTACCGTATGCACCCGTGTCTTTCCGAGTTCCCATCCAACATGTTCTACGAAGGCTCTCTCCAGAATGGCGTCACGATGCAAGAACGTATCCGCCGCGATGTCGACTTCCCCTGGCCAGTTGTTGATAGCCCAATGATGTTCTGGTCAAACCTTGGTGCTGAGGAAATCTCGGCTTCTGGAACTTCCTACCTCAACCGGACCGAAGCCCAGAATGTCGAAAAGATTGTGACCCGCTTCTTTAAGGCAGGCGTTCAGCCTAGCGACATTGGTATCATCACTCCATACGAGGGCCAGCGCAGTTACGTTGTCAGCTCCATGCAGGCAACTGGCAGCTTCAAGAAGGAGAACTACAAGGAGGTTGAGGTTGCATCCGTCGACGCTTTCCAGGGTCGTGAGAAAGACTTCATCATCTTGTCCTGTGTACGTTCCAACGATCACCAGGGTATTGGTTTCTTGAGTGATCCTCGTCGTCTCAACGTCGCCCTCACTCGTGCCAAGTATGGTCTCGTCATTCTTGGTAACCCTAAGGTCTTATCCAAGCACCCACTGTGGCACTATCTTCTTCTTCATTTCAAGGAGCGCAACTGCCTCGTCGAAGGTCCCTTGACCAACCTACAGGTGTCGCTTCTCCAATTCAGCCGCCCCAAGCAGACATATCGCGGGCCTCAACGCTACCAGATGGCCTACCAGCACGCCAACGCCATGACCTCTGGTCGCCAGCCAGGCTTCAATGGCAACAAACCTCGTCAGGAGTACAATGACAATGGCTCCATTGTGGGCTACATCCCAGATGATGTCTCTTCTGTCCACTCTTCTGCACTTGGTGGTGTTGGTGTTCCTTCCAACTATCCCCCCATGTTCTCCAACTTCCAAGAGTCATGGCCCCTACCTGGCCGTCCTAACGGAAAGGGCAAGAATGGCGCGCCCCAAAGCGTTGCTGGTGAATCCATTGCAGCTAGCGAGCTCACAGACACCCGTAGCGATGCGCCTGGCGGTATCAGTCTTTCTGGTCTGAGTCTGAACGACTACAACAAGCCCACCTCACTCAGCCAGTCAGACCGACTTAACCGCTTTGTGGAATCAACTCGCCAGGGTCCGAACGTCGGTACTGGCTTTGGTGCTGGTCGTGGGTTGCGAGGTGCACTTGGCGGCTTTGAAGATGATGACGCTCGCAGTGTCTCCACTGCTTTTGCCAGTCAGATTGGCACCGGTAATGGCTATGACTGATCACGCCTTTCTGATATAGTGGTAACATACCCTACTACTCTTACACGTTTTGGCTGCGAGCCTCTCTCTTTCACCCGATTAAGCAACAGACCGGATTTATCACCGGCCGTCCGACCTAGGACATGCTCTGTCGGCAGAATCAGAGCAGGCGACCGCCAGTGCGTTGGCACTGATATTGATATTAGGTCCAGTCCGTACTGCAGCTTGTGTCGGCTCCTCCAGACAGCATACCGCCATACCTGCGGCAATCCGTCGCCAGCACGTAACCGCAACTCAACCACATGTGAGCTTGAAATCTGCCGTACCTCCCAGATTAAGCCCATATGGGTGATGCGTCAAGATGAAGTGCGCAAGGGAGTAAGCCCAACTGCAGCCTGGAAGAGCTGAGTATCAAGCACACAAGACTTGAGCATTTCTTTTTACCATTTCTTACATTCCTTGTTTTTATCACCTCCATGTAGGTGTGGTTGACTTTTTATACAAATGCTACGAAGAAAAAAGGTGAGGGGAAAATCATACTCCAGTTTAGTTTTTTAAGTTTGAGAAGAGAATTTAAACCATGCTTGTTTCGAAGTGTGTCTGGGGTTCCATCATTGATATACGTGACTGTATTGGCTGTCGCGGTGAACTATTGCCCCTCTTCGACCCCCCTTTTCTTTTTACATCAGCACAAGGCTCGATAACTGTGGATTACCTTGTTGATCTGAAGTTTTGCATTTCTATCAATACGCCTACCACTAACCAAGCTCACTATTTTCCTTCTCACGTACACATATGTGGACTTTTCTAAAACAAAACCCCTCTAGAACAACGAAGTGGGAAGTTAAAACAAACGCCTCGTATGGACTAAGCCTATTCCATTTCTTCTCATCTTTCCAACTACATGGGATGTGAAGCATAATCAAATACGACTTCAATTTTCCTTGTCATCTCACAAAAGTTCACCCTAGTCTCCTTCTCACAAAGTGAGAAATATGGTCCTCCGCTGCACTCGTTAAGTAAATAAAGAGATTTGTACGAATTAGTTCTGTGCTTCCTATCGAAAAGAGAGAAATATAGAAAGAAAATTGGAGGGAAATGGAAGCGAGAAAAGCGGAGAAAGAGTGTTGGGGCGTGTAGGTAAAACTTGTACACTACTCATACTTCACTATCCTTTTTTTCTCCACGAGAAAAAAAGGGGAACAGAGTTGATTTGACGGAAGGAAGAAAAGACGAGAGAAGACGGGTTGTGTCATAATAGACAATGATCATAAATAATAATAATAAAAAAAAACTAACTCATTTAAATACAGCGTGATATCCCATCCCTCATACCAAACCAACCAACTAAAAGAAAAAGAAAAAGAATTATATACGTGGAGAAAGAGTCCCATAATAGGTCTCCGTCTGACATGAAAGCTTTACGCTACCCCTACCCACGTATGACAACGTCTTTTGGGTATCACACACTCTTTCTTTTCGCTTTATACAAATTCTCTCCAATTCCCGTTCTCTTATTCCAACTTTTTTTTATCTTTCTTTTTATCTCTTCATTTTTCTGGATCATATACATCTTTGTAACAAATATGAAAACGTATATAGCTCCCAATCAGAAGCAACAAATCTCCGCCACACGCATGCCTTACATAACAGTACAGCACTTGAGCATCTTGAGCAACTTGGGTAGCCCCTTCTTGACCATCTGCTCGATCTCGTCGTTTTGGTTTTGCTGCTGATCATGCTGTTGCTGGTGTTGACCGCCATGGTGTTGGGGCGGGGCACCACCGTGGTGCTGCTGGTGTCCGGGGTATCCAGCCGAGGGCGCATGCGGAGGCGGGGGCATTTCGTCGACGCTGCCGCCCTGGAGGTTGACGAAGATTCTACCTTCGTTTTCCTCGGTGCGGTACTGCAGCCCCAGCTCGCGGCATACTTGCTCGACTCGCGGTTTGATCTTTTGCACGTGGTTCTTGCTGTGGTTGCCCTTGCCGACGATGACGTGTAGGTGGGTCTGGCCTTGTTGTCTGGCGACCTTGATTCTTTCCTCGAGCACGTCCTCTGCTTCTTCTACGAAGAGACCGTGAAGGTCAATTGTGTCGCTGTCAACGCGCCCTTCGGCATTGTTTTCCCGGAAGATGAAGTCGCGTGCCTGGCGGTTGTATTGCTCCATCTTTTCCGCGTGCTTCTTTCCTTCCTGTGAGAGCTCGTGGGCGGCAGCGCCATCGCCGGACTCGTACGCTTGGTGCGCACGGTCGAAACATGAGGAGCGTTTGGCGGCTTCTTGGCGGGCAAGGTCGCGAAGGCGGTCATATTCAGCTTCCGCATCCGCAGAGGAGTGGTTGAGAGCTGGGCGTGTTTGTTAGTTGTTGTCGCAATTGCGGATGGGCGCGATCAAGAACATGGGGGGTTGGGTACGTACAGCGTGAGCCCAAAGCGGTCATTTGTATGGCTGTCATCTTGTCGCGATACCGAATATGTCAACTGGAAAGGGATGCAATGGATTAACACTGAGTTATTGTTGTTCTTGAGCGATGCACTTGGCGGAATCAAGGTACATAATAAGACGGGGCTCAATGACGCTAAGCGGCTGCTTGCAGGATGTGAGATGGGCGCAGGGTCCAGTTCTGTGGCTCAGCGGTGAAGATGGATCAGGGCTGCCGTGTGAGCCACGTGGTGTGCACGTAAATACGTGTTCGGCGCAAAGTGCGTAGCGCCATGGATCTTGACTGAAATTTTGGCCAAGCTTATGCGTGACACGCTGTCATTGGTGCTGATGGTGATGTTGGCGCGCCCATGTGAGCTATGTGCCACGCCCACCGCCCCTCATCCTCGCGAAACATTCGTGACATGAATGGAAGTCCAATCGTTCTTTTCTGACAGCATCGCTACCCGCAAGGGCGGTTTCAGAAACGGACCTTGGGCCCTACGAATACAATTAGGAATGCGATCAACCATAGGCCAGCAATCATGCCATAGAGCCTCATTCTATCCCACCAACCCTTGCCTTCAGTCATCTTCCGCAGCGTGCCCATCCTCCTACTAGCAGCATCCATATTCAACGTGTTCTTGTCTAGCCCAGCCAATGCTCGATCTACCACACTCTTGTCGCCCTCGAGCGTGTTTGAAAAATTTATCGATTGTTGCTTCAACAGCTTGGCCATATCGAGGAGGCTTGTTGTGAGCGTTTCCTGTTCATTCCTTTGGTACGATAGGAGAGCCTCTGTCTGCGCATGGGTTGGGTCGCCTGTCGTCGTTGTGGGTTTCGAAGGGAAAAGAGAATTGCCAGATGCTGCTTGTGCCCCAGACTCGGCTCCGTCAGCCTCTGGCTTGCCTCTCCGCCGCAGTTCTGACGCCAATCCCTGCGCAGCATTTTGGAGTGCTTCGTTGTTTCCTCCTGACGTTGTGATATCCCGTCCAGCCTCTGTCTTCACTCTTGGCGCATATGAAGGAAATTCATCTGCGTCTTCTTGATCGGAATCTACAGACCCATCCGACTCTGTATCATCTAGCTGGTTCAATTCGTATATCCGCTGATTTAGTTGCTTTATGAGCTCGCGTTTTTGCTGCAGATCGGTTTGTAGCTCGGATTTCTTGGACTTGGAGGGTATTGTCGAGGCCGAGTGCTCAAGGTTGAGGAGTAACGTGCGCGCATGTTCGATATTCTGGGGAGTATCAGTAAGCCATTTCTATAGATGTGGTCCATGTGTTTTAACCTACTGCGCTTACGCGTGCCCGCTCATAACTGGACTTTCGTAGCTCTGGTGACGGATCTGCCAATACTATGCGCTCTAGCCTCGAGAGCAGACGATTAAGGTTGATACTGGTAACGTCGCCAAATACTGGAGAGCGAGATCTGGCAGTCATCGCTTGCTTTGCTATAGCGTCGTTGGATTGCTGGCGCGACGCGACCTGGTATAAATGACGAAGTGATGTGCGTAGCGGGCACCGAGACTAGGAAGTAGTAGTTGCGCAAGTTTTCAGGATTGCAGTTAAGAATCCAGCGTACTATAGTAGCAGCGGAACAGATCAGGCAACAGCAAGTAGGACGAAAAGTGGTAATGAAGAAAGGTGTTCGTTCGTGGATATTTGGTGCATGTAGCCACAACGTCACTTTCACAACAACCAATAGCAACTTGGTGGGCCTTCCCCGCACTGGCCCACGCTCAGCCGCAGCCCACATCTCAGATCTCACGTATCATCACATGTATCAATTCAATCCCTAGGCTCATTTGTATGTTGTTTGTCTTTGAATTTACATCATACTGGTATAATACATGTTTGCGAGAACGCTATGTCGCATCATTTTTGATCCTCTGCTCTTTGAGCAAACCATGTTTGCCTTCTGGCCCCTGGCTTCATAAACACTCATCTCATCTCGTTACCATGTCACACACTGAAACAAGCAAAAATTTATGATGATCCGCCCTTCGATTGCTGCGACTGTGTAGTGGGTTGAAGAGGTCCACGAGTGAAGCTGAGAACAATTAGTATTGCATTTGGAAGCACTCGATGAGTTGAGAATCATACTTGTTCCACCAAGTACCGATGATGCCGGGCTTTCCATATGCATCATGGAAGGATTGTCTTCGAGCCAGGCTCTCCTCATCCTGACGACGCTTAAGAGCCTCTAGGTTTCCAAATCTCTGGGCTGCCGAAGACTACACAATGTCAGTCACGGCTGCTCAATTAGCCAAGTATTCAACGTACCCTTCGGCGTCCATTGTAGAAAGACTCAGATCCGACAGAGGCATCAGACGCTCGGCGGTCGTTGTTTTGCTTTGGGGCTTCAGGCATGGTTGGGGTGGCATCATTGCCAAAGACCTTGTTGATTGGGGAAGACATGTCTGATATTTGATATGAATAGAAATCGTATGTAAAGTTGAAATTGGACTTGGATGTGGTGATTGAGAGTAGATTGCAAATATGAATCATTTTGAAAATGGGAATGCAAACTGCTGATAAATACCCCCTCAGTTCCATACTGTCGAGCACACGATCGCATGTGGCATGACCATTACGCAGACGATACATGATCGTACCAATCAGTGAGGGTCTAGCCCTCCCCCGCATTTTGACAGTGCAGTTTGGACCCTGAACGTCTGTAACGATGACATGAATGGCAAGCAAACGGCGCTATGCTGCACTTGCTTCTGCTGGCCAAATCTAATCAGAGTTCTGCAGCGAATCATATTCTGCTGATTTATCCACACTTGACGCGGCTTGATGATCTAAAGCGTGGATGCTAGCCAGGCCGTTTGTTTGCACGTGACATCGATCTTGGACGATAGTCGAGGCGTCGAAGACGGCGTGCAGGGTCCATCAACCTCAATGACAGATTCGGCTCTGTCCATCCTAAGGGGTATTGAGGCGCAGTCGGGGAAGGGGTATCGATCGCACTAGTTTTTGTAAGCAGATCGCGCCGCTCGTCATGGACCGACCGCTATTAGGTACGCCTGTCGATCTTTGGGTAGTACAACAACGGGGGATTCGACCATGTGTTTGAAGTAAAGCTACTGGGACCCTTTCCTGGATGCACAACGCTGTAGGCACGCTATGACACCATCGAGAAGCTTCCACCGACGGCATTCAGCCAAGCTTTGCACGGGCGCAGGTGCCGTATCTCGGTATCGTTGATGTCATGTGTTTGGAAATTGTCGTTGATTTCGTAGTAAGTATGGCCAGTGCCGGCGGACATGGCTTGTGGTTAAGGAATTGCAAGTCGGCGGCTGAGTGAAGAATAACGCCGTCTGCGTCTGTTGCTCTGAGAGCCCTGACGTCAGTGGCTGACAAATAAGCGCGCGTTACCGCTTTTGCTAAGCGAGGGACAATGTCTTTCGCGCTCGCACAGCAGAGCAATCTCTTCCTCAACCCTCAAGCAAGGTAACCTTGGGGCAGACTTCAGCGAATTCTGCCGGACTCGACACAGCGTTGAGCCGTCGACCTCGTATTTCTGGCATGTGCAGCGGTTGCCGCTTTTTAGAGTTTTGCCGCCTCCAGCCGTTAACAGGTTGCGTGCTGTCTCCTGAGAGAGACGCATTTGCAACGATAGCTACTGATGCAGATCTTTCGGATACACAACAGCCGGGCCGGTGAGGAATATTTTTCTAGCCGCCGCACGTGTCACGACTTGCCCTCCGCCCTTTAATGCGCCATCCGACGCATGCTGCGCAAACTGTCTTGGTGCAACTCAAATCACACTGCCTCGACATTGGCATCAGATCAAGTTTTGTGGTGCAGTCTCGCTGCAGCTTTGCAGCAACGATGGCATTGGCCAGCAAAGGTACGTGACACTTGTCAACAATCCCATCCCCTTGCATGATGATACCACATTTTTAAAGCATAGTTCATCTTAGTCCAAAGGACACTGAGGAACCAAATAGCATTGTCTTTCGCTCCTATCTGATCACAGCCACCATCCCAACTTGTGCCATTGGCCGCTTGCTGTTACAACATGTTCTGACTCTGAATAGACTTCTCTGCGAACGAGCCACGTTGCCTTGAGCACTGTGCTATAGGTCAAGGAGGATGGCCGGCGTTTGCCAATAAGGGCGTGGTATGAAGAACTGACGGTATATCACGGCTGCATGCTGTTGTACGCTGTGCATGGTTTCCCTTGGACCAGTGGCCGCCGCCTACGTCTGCATCACATGATGATTTTGGTCGTTTGCTCAGGTCAGGCGGACGTAAGTGTGCATAGATATGTATGTACAGTGTGCGTACATACATATAGTATGACGGTAAGTATGCATGCAGGTGTTCAAGTAAGTATGTGTGTGTGTGTGTGTGTGTGTGTGTGTATGTTGTGAAGCATGGCCAGTTGGCCGCTGTGTGCACAGAGTGCAATTGCAACTGCAATATCATGGACGGCCAGGGGAAATGAAATTTGGCGGACTGGTGTGCCGGACCCTGCGGATGGGGCGGAATGAAGGGAGCACCCAGCCGGTATCCCGCTGGCCTGTGGCATATCAATAGAAAAACGACGGTTGGCATTATTGCGCCAGCGCTCGTGTTGCCGCATTTTGCGCAAAGCTCAGCCCGCCGATGCTTTGTTTTTCTTTCTTTCTGAAATGGTTCGCAAGCATGGCCTCGGCACAGTTCAGGCAGTTCAGGTTTTGTGGTTGTTGATCGCAGAGCTAGACGAGGGGTGCATCCACAGTGTGTGCGCGTTCGGCTGGCGGGTTCCCTGAATTTGCAGGTGTGACGGTAGTATCGCGTCGTCCCTCCGGCCACGCGGTTGGCTGCCACCCGTGATGATCACTGCTCCCTCTGTAATCCCCGACGGGCCCCTGGCGGCATTTCAATTTAGCATCCCCTATTGCGACCCGCGAGCGACAGGAGCAGAGTATTACGCCGACACGGAAGCCCGTCCAGCGCTTGTGAATCGCGAGAGCGGCCAAGGGTGACTCGTGAACCGAGCGCAAAGTCTGTGACGTTAGCGCTTGACTCGGAGTGATAAGAAGTGCATCTCTCCCAACCCGGCCACGCACGCAAATTCATCCCATTGGCTTCCAAACCGCCGAAGACATTTGCTCGCGGCACTTGTGTGTGGGGCCTTCTCCTATGCGTTGGCACTCAAACCAAGCCACCATCCCGTCAGCAACCCAAGTCCGCGCCTGCATATTCTCAGCTCTCTCGCTTCCTTCTTTCCTCCTCAACACCACAGCTTTTACTCTCAACCACTGCCATCGCGCTGCAAACAAGCTACATTAGCAATCTTTCTTTGCGACGTTTGCTTGATCTGTCCAATACGACACATACACTATCAAAAAAACAAGAGCCCTTGCTCAGGATGACAATTCGGAGCCCAGACGGAGCCCTATCCAGGTACTTACTGCCCAACGGTTTTCTCCCCCAACTTGTTTTGCTTTGACCTTCACCTTTTTCCTTTCAGTCTTACCGTTTTGCTACCGCCTGTCTTGTTACAATCATGTGTTTCTTTCCTACTGTTTTGACTCTTCTCTTTTTGTTCGCCGCCACTACAGCCCCAGATGGATCTCCCAAAGGATGCCACAGGATACCTTCCATAGGATTTACCGCCCCGGTAAAGGACAACCACAAGGCCACTTTTCTTCAGTTCTACCAGGACCACATTTTCCCCAAGGACAATCTTCCCAAGATACGAGACACGTAGCACACTGCCCTTGCAGTGTTTGTAGAAACGACAATCACGAGGCCTCGATGCCCCCGATTCAGAGCTAAAATGCAGAGCTCTCGAAACGGCGGTGAACATACGAGAGTGGATCCTCGCTATTGATGCCCAACACCACACTGGATCAAAATTCTTGTGCGACAAACGGCATGCAACCCTGCATCGCCGTCAGGATTACGTAGGCACCTTCCGACAATGTCGTTCTTCTCTGTTGCTGTTCAACTAGGCTAAACGACAGACTACTGGTAATAAGGAGTGTACGCTTTCCCAAAGGACGCCAAGCCATGGACCATGTACCAAGGATCGCCCCATGGAACACGTGACTTTTATGTAAGATCACGTGCCGGACCATATTCTGGATGCGCTAGCCCAGACCGGCCACGGTCATGGGTATGGAGATTCTTTGGTCGGACATGAAGTACGTACATGGGCTAGAGTCTGCCTACCCTTACCGACCCATTGATCGAAAACTAACTTGAGTGTGGTCAAAGGAGCACCTGTTGTTCTGGATGAGCTGCCCTGTTTTTCTGTGAACTGCTTCTACTGGATCTGGACACCTGCTAAGTACTCGACCTGAGAATATCATGTTACTGGTCAAATCACTCTGGACCCAACATGGATACGTCAACCTGGACATGCTATGGCCAATGATGCTGACCCTACTGGCTCCTTGAGGTGCGTGCTCACCACCATGTCTCCCGTCTACTGATCTTTG